CATGTTATATGATTCGAATTCATGATATTTTACTTTCAACAAAAAAAATTATCATTAAATTATTTAAATTATTAATAATATATTATATTTATTTAAATATTACATTAAAATTATAAACTTTACGAAATATTCTGACTATAGAATTGCGGTCGGAGAAACGGGATTACATGTGAATGGGCTGGGATTTGCGGAACGAAACGGAATTATGGAATATACATGCAAGGGTTCACGGGTGGGGAGAGAGAGAATCAGTGCTGCACTTTTTCTACCTGAGGTCATAGCTGCATTTGTGGCTTTGAGACACGACACGTAAGCTTGGGCCGATAATTCAGTGACACGTGCACGGTTAGAAGGTTTAGCTGTGGGCCAGCACTGGCCACGTGTCCACTATGGTTGGGCCGTAACTCTCTGGTGATGGGGCCCCTGACACCAGATCTACAATGCGCTGTTTTTATTTCTTTTCCTCCCTATGGGATTCGGCATCTCCAAGTCCAACACGAAAGGATTCACATGTTGCTAACTGATTCATCAAATTTGGGAAAAAACTTGAAGACGGCTCTGATGAAGAAGCGCAGGTGCGGCGCGTGTCAGCCATGAGTTCACGGGTCCGTGTTTCTGTGTGTCACGGGTGAGCGGAAGATTAGAAGGTGAGTTTAGGATGAGGTTATGATGAGCTATTATTTTTTTCTTGTTAATAAGATTAATTTAAATTGTAATTTTAGTTATGATATTAAAAATTATTTATTTATAAATAAATTTTAATTTATTAAATAATAAAATTATTTCATTAATTATTAGTTATTTTAATAATTAAATTATAATAAAAATTTAATGAGTTTAGTAATTTTAACAAAATTAATAGCATATTAGCATTGAATAAAGTCTGTCGACCTAATGATTTAATAATTTAATGTAAATATTTTTTACTATGTCAAGGGTTTGATTCCTTCCCCACTTGCCTTAATAAAAAAAAAAACAAAATTAATAGTGACTATAGTCATAGACAATGAGTTCATTTTTATAACGTGGGGACTTGGTTCCTTTTAATCTCATTTTTGAAAGCAAAAACAGAAAATAAGCAGAGCAAGTAATAACTAATACATATTAGTGATTAAAAATTTAAAATTTTTTATTAAATATCTTAATTTTAAATTTTAAAATAAAAAGAGAAGATTTAATAAAAAAATTCTACTATATATTATATGACTTATCATTAGATATATGCCCCCTAAAGAAATAATAAGCATAAAGCAGGCTTCGTAATGAACAACATGTATATGTGTTTTGGAGCTATTAATTAGATGGGACGGAATGAATTGAGTTACTCTTTGTACTTCTTGAATAAACTACATTTTATGAGGGTGTTTGTTTTAGTTTAATAAAAGTGCTTTTGCAGATTTGGGCGGTTAAAATTGCTTTCGGCGGGTTTGGAATACCGAAGACTGATTCTGGAAATTAAACGGACTCTTTGCTTGTGGTTCGTTTGCTGCAGTGTCAATCAACACGGAGATGTGAATTTTTTCACTTCTTGCTCATAGAAAGTGCCTGTTAGTTAGAGCTTGGTGTATCAATATCCTTCATGTATTGGGAGAGGGGCAACTTTTGTGCATATGGGCTAGCCAACTCTAGTTTTGCTGCTACTCCAGGTTTGATGGTCTTCTCAACCTACCTAAGCGGTTTGAAATAGGGGCGCAAAATCAGGGATAGATGGAAGATACGGCCTTTTTTCTTACACCCTAGCTATAGGCTTTTTTTTAAAAAGTCTTTAGGAAGGCATTTAGGGTTGAGCATTTGGTTTTTTTTTTTTTGCCTACAATTTTTTTTGAATAATTTGTCAAAACGGATTCGAATATGCCAAAAAGAGGGAAAATGTAACCATAATATGACAAGATGTCACTTGACCCGAAAGATCTAGTGCTTTTGCTTACCATTTTGATTTTATATATATATATATTTTTTAATACTTGAGATAAATTTTATGTCCAATCCTTTTTGTATGTAGTTCCACCCTTGAATTAAAGTGCTTGCTGGATACAGATCTGCATGGTGTTGTCTTCGCCTGTGGGTTTAAGATGTACATACTATGTAAATGAACTGGTCCCGTTTTTTATCCAAAAAACACACACACGCACACCTGAGGGAATTATTTAAGAAGGCCTAGTGGGGCCTAAATTTGAGTCTAAGAGAAGCCTTAACAGCCAAGCCCGTACCAAATAAAACAGACCCTGATCTCAATGAGGTTATGATGGGCTATAGTTCGGCCCATCTGTGGTCAAAGTGTCTGTGTTGGCCCCAAAATTATTCCTTGCTTTAAATACACCATGGATCTCCCCAAAATTATTCCTTGCTTTAAATACACCATGGATCTCGGATTTTCTTTTTTGTCTGAATTTTTTTTTACATCAAACATTTCACACTAAAATTATTTTTTGATATTGAAGTGAGTTTTTTTAATAAAAAATTAGTTATGTAATAATATAAAAATTTAAATTTTTTATTTTGATATTAAAATTTTTTAATTAATTAATATCAATTTAACCAAACTTTAGTTAATGATATTGAAATTAATAAGTGCCAACTCAATCAAATTTTTATTATTAGTATTATTTTTTTTATAATGGTGATAATGAATAGGATAGTCAACTTTAGTTTTCTTTTTCCTAACTCCATGTCTCCACACGAAACTAAAATTAATGTATTGCTAAATTTTGTCAGACGTGAAAAAAGAATCTTACCATCAATTTATAATTTTTTTTATGGGACCATAAGTTTTTAAATTGATTGTTGTCTTGATGACATTACAAATAAGAATTCAAAAAATTAAAATATTTTGATATTTAAACCGTTTGTCATAACTATCTGTCAAGTGATCCGAGAATCTACCCACAGATCATGATGATGAGGGACGTTCTGCAATTAATGCACGCTGGCTTTTATGTTTCTGATTTGCATTGTAAAAATATAAATGGACGCTTATACATTTTTCAACAGTTGGAAAAGTAAGTGTCTTTCGAGGGCATTCATGTAACTTCAAAATGTTTACCCGACCACCCCTCCACCCCTCAAGTGCACAAATGCCCCGGAAGGGCAGGAACTCATAATGGTGGCAAAACGAATTTTCATTCGTCTAAGTGTACATGTTTAAACAGTTGGAAAAATAAGTGTTTTTCGAGGGCATTCATGTAACTTCACAATAACTTGCCCCGTTTAGTGCGCAAATGCCCCGAAAGGCCTGGAACCCCGTAATGGTGGCAAAACGAATTTTCATTCGCGTCTCGTTTCTTTTCAGTCTTCTCATCCAAAAACCGTCCGCTTCTTTTGGGTGTGAAGAAGTGCAATAGATCACAGAACCAGGGGTTTCCACTCTCAAGAAACCCTATTCCGATCCTAAAAACTCGAAAATCAAACTCCTTCTATGGGGATTCTCCGACCTCGATCATACGCGGCTCGCCGGACTGAAAGAGAGTAATCGATTCTGTTTTCCAGTATTCGCTGAGAAGGAACTCCTTCGATCATCTTCATCATGTTTGAAGCTCATGTAAGCAATTTTTTTTCTTTTCCTCAAAGTTAGCTGAATTCGCATAGGTTTTGGATTCTAAGGAGCATCGCAGTTCACTGTTCTTGTTTTATCTTTGAATTTTTAAAGTTTGATTCTCTTTTTTTCGCTTGGTAGCTAAGCATCATCTAAGAGCTCAGAATTTCTGCTTTCTTCTTCTTCTTTTTTTTTTTTCTTCTTCTTTTTTTTTTTTTTTTTTTAATCCTCGCCTATTTAGCATCTAGGATAGCTAGAATTTTCTGAAATTGCGATAAGGAGAGTACTAGTTTTGGTGAACTGAAAAATAAGCATGCAATCTGGAAAAAATTGAATACCTGATGAGTTTGTTTATTTCGAAATTTAATTTGCAGGTTCTGCATTTGCTTCGAAGATACTTGGGCGAATATGTCCATGGGCTCTCAACAGAGGCTCTAAGGATCAGTGTCTGGAAAGGTTTCTTCTAAAAGACCATTTTTACCTGTGTTTTACTGATTGTGATTGTTTATGGCAACTTATTTAAGCTAAAAGCGTATGTTATCATTCTTCTTATTACGTTAGCCAAATGGCTAGTGAAACATGAGTCACTGCATGTTTCAGAATAGAGTAGAACCTTGGCTACTGGAGTCATTGCATGTTACCTGTAAACTGTTCACCAATGGATGTTATAAACTCTTTATCCCATAAATCCTTATAATTGTACAGGCGATGTGGTCCTCAAGGATTTAAAATTGAAGGCAGAGGCACTAAATTCACTAAAACTCCCTGTCACTGTCAAAGCTGGTTTTGTGGGTTCTATCACGCTAAAGGTAACCATTGTCATTGGTAGTTGCCATGCAGGTTTAATCCCCTGATGTTATTTTCATTTCATTTTTTTTTTTCATTTTTCATTTTATCTTCTAGCTGCACTTTTACCACAGAAAGTGTATAGAATTGTATTATTCTTTATTTTTTAATGCAGATATGATTCTTTATCTTCTAATTATTTGCCTTTTTTTTCCCCTTCATCTTTTGTTATAGGTTCCTTGGAAAAGTTTGGGTAAAGAACCTGTTATTGTTCTCATTGATCGTGTCTTTGTTCTTGCATATCCTGCATCTAATGATAGGACTATTAAGGTGGGATGATATTTCCTTGGTTGGAAGGGTGACATAATTCATTTGCTATGAAGAAATAATATCTACCACGTTTCTTTTCTGTTCTTGCTTTTTCAGGAGGAGGATAGGGAAAAACTCTTTGAATCGAAACTTCAACAGATTGAGGTGAAGATCTACACACACACACACACACACACACATATTACGTGGATGTATGAGTGCATGCTGATTCTAGTGCAGTATATGTGTGCCTTTTGTCATTGTAACAGGTGGTGAGGAATTTACCAAATTTATTTGCACAAATGTGAATGAACTTCCTCATAATGCAACGTTTTGGAAAGTGCACTTAACATCATTTTTATGTTTTTTGAGAGGTTTATCATAGGTGTTCTAGGACTGTGATTAACTTCTTCTTCTTGCTTATGTTGGTTTTCCTTCAGAGAAATGTTAAGAGTACAAGAGTGAAGAGACATTATATGTAGTAGCTTTTAAGACATTTTTCTTATCAGCCTTGGGTAGGGGCATATCTTCACTTAATATAGCAATCTGCAGAAAAGGAATCTCCCATCAACCCTAAGAAAAAGTACACAAACATAAGCATGTCTGGTTGTTTACAAGCCAGCAATTTTAGCTGTTTGAGTATTTGGTTGTAAGAAAAGCTTTCTTGATTTCCTTGCATATGGGATATGAGCATGCATGCACTTACATTTATCTTTGTTACTTACAGGAAGCAGAATCAGCAACTCTTGAAGCATTGCAAAGGTTGAAGCCAGGAAGTGTATGTCATTTTGTAGTTAGATTTCTTTAATAATGTTGCTTCATATAATTCATTTTTTAAAATAAGTTGCTAATTGTTTCTGGGTCTAAATGTGTTTCTTGTGTCATATGTCTAAGTGAGAGCCTCCCAAAAGAACTATGTTAGTATATTGTTAATAATATGTAGTTTTGGATGCTTAACCCTTTCATATTCCCTTTCTTTAACATATGAAGATTCATTAAATTCAATATTGTCTTGTGACTTGTGTGTTGGAAACTCAAGTGTCTTAGAAGGCATGCTTATTCTTTCTTATCGTAGTGATTGAAGTGAGAGCTTTTTCTCTTGCAGCCACCTTCTGGAAACTCATGGCTTGGTTCTCTTATTGCTACGATTATTGGAAATCTGAAGATATCAATTAGCAATGTACATGTCAGATATGAGGATTGTGTAAGGTAAGTGGCCATGTGACCTGTCCATGTTTTTGCTTCTCCCTTGCTTGCATTAAAGTGAATGTACCATCTTTGACTCTTTTTTTATTGCTTAATAATTTCTTGTCTTTCTTTACATCCTGCTTTCTGTCTGCATATGATATGTATTTTTTGCAGTAATCCAGGACATCCATTTTCTTCTGGTGTTACCCTAGCTAAGCTTGCTGCAGTCACAATGGATGAGGATGGAAATGAAACCTTTGATACCAGTGGTGCACTGGATAAGTTGCGTAAGGTCAGTTTTGTTCTTATCCTTGAAAAAAGAGTTTTTCACAATTGTTAAATGAATAAATAGGCGACCATACTTTCAAATCTCTCCTGCAGGATGACATTAAGATAAACATATGCACTCTCAAGTCTCTTATTTTTTGTGCTAATACAATAAATTTCATATTTACAGTCATTGCAACTAGAGAGGCTTGCCATGTATCATGATTCCGATAAGCTTCCCTGGAAGGTGGATAAGAAATGGGAAGATCTTAGTCCAAAGGAATGGATTGAGGTTTGAATTACACGTGGAATGATTACTATCCTTACTTTTTTCTTTTTTGTATGCATTTGATTTCTGAAACATAAGATTCAATAGGTTTTAGGTTTAATCTTTAATTAAATTGTTCCTTATCCAGATATTTGAAGATGGTATAAATGAACCTGATGCTGGCAGTAAACTGGTGTCTAAATGGGCTATGAATCGTAACTATTTTGTGTCCCCAATAAATGGAGTCCTTAAATATCATCGACTTGGAAATCAAGAAAGAAATGATCCTGATGTTCCTTTGGAGAAGGCTTCTGTTGTCTTAAGTGATGTCTCCTTAACAATCACAGAGGTGCCGATGCATTTTATTTTCAACAGTTATTTTGATCATTTTGTTATTTTTATTGCTTCTCATCTTTTATTTCTTTATTTATTTTGAATTTCCTGGAGAGTGTGATATGACTTTTAATCTGCATTTGCTTGTATATGGTTGTTGAGAGAATGAAAAAGAAAAAAAAAAGTACACAGTGATTGCTTAGGCCTTAAATTACATCATGTTCACAGCCCATGGCCAAGGCCCTCCTGCTCTCCTCACCTCTAATCTGCTAACTAAAAACCTGGGAAAATAAATGGTGTGAGAGTTCCTTTGCTTACATTACCTTGTTGGCTGGTAATTGAATGGCTAAAATTCATGTGTTTGCTTGTCTTTCACAGGTGCAATATCATGATTGGATAAAACTTTTGGAAGTTGTCTCAAGATACAGGACATATGTTGAAATTTCCCATTTAAGACCTGCGGTGCCAGTCTTAAAGGGTACTACTCGTCTGTGGTGGCATTATGCTGCTCAGGCCAGCCTGCAGCAGAAAAAAATGTGGTATGTAGTAAAAATACCTGTTACCTGAAAATTTACTTTTCAAGATATCACTTTTCAGATTATTTGCTGACTTTGTTAATTTAAAATTTTTGCAAAATCTGCTGCATGATCTGTTACCATATTTTCTTTATATTTTCTTTAACTCCTTCATGATGGAATTTATTGTAATGTACATTGCACTGAATCTGAATTTATTAATCATACTGAATTTCAGCTACCACTTCTCATGGGATCAAATTCGGCATCTTTGCCAGCTTCGTCGACACTATATTCAATTGTATGCTACTTCATTGCAGCAGTCATCAAATATTGATAACTCAGAAATGAGAGAAATTGAGAAAGATCTCGACTCTAAAGTAATTCTTTTATGGAGGTAATTCAATTAAACTTTGGTATTGTAGGAAAAGAGGAGATGCATGCTGTATAATGCGGCACTGAACATGACTTGTGACTTGCTGGAAGTTTGGTTCAAATTCTCCAGTTCCATGATGCTTGATGTTTTTGCTAAGTTAATTTTGGATGGTCCTGTATTAACTTGATTTTGCTCTTGGTTTACCGTATAGCATTTGCCACTGTGGCACTGCTAGTGAGGTACAGCCTTACTAATCACAATATGGTATTGTGTTTCAGCCTTAATGAACAAAGCTTATTTTTTCAACTCCAGTTGTGGAACATTACTTTATAAATGATGGTTCTTTGGTATTGTGTATGTGCCTGTAATTTTTTCAATGTCCCTTTGAATTGTGGAGAATTTGTGTTCTTCTCTTTTGGATGATTATTCTGATGCAAATTCTTGGGTTCCTCATACATGAATAGGATTCTCGTTATTTACAAACCTATGATAAGGTGGATTGACAATTTCTATACTTATATTTGTGTTATCCTGCTGCCTCTGGCCACATTTTTCCCTTTTCCCCTATGACTTAGAGAAGTTTTATTCTGTGATATGATCCTTTTCATCTCTTTCAATATTAATATTTTTAGTTCCAAAGACTCCATTGTAATTGGGTGGTTTAACTTAGACTACCTGTTTCCTGTGTCTCTTAACAATTTTCTTCCTGGTTGCTGGAGCTATTAGGTTACTTGCGCATGCCAAGGTTGAATCAGTAAAGTCAAAGGAAGCAGCAGAAAAGAGGAGGTTGAAAAAGAAAAGCTGGTTTTCGTTTGGATGGTTGGTGAAACCTGAAAGCCCTGTTGTTGCCTTTCTTCAGAAAAAGATGATGTTACCTTATGATAGGCTTGGTTATTTCAGTTGCCTGTTGTGATTCAGTGAAGAATTTGCTTTGAGTTTTACTGTATATATTGGGAATTTATTCTGCTTAACTCTTTATATCAGGGGTACAAACTCAGAAGCTGCATCAGATGGCGGTGCTTCTGAGAATTCGCAGTTAAGTGAGGGAAGTCTTACAAAAGAAGAATGGGAAGCCATCAATAAGTTAGTGAGTTGCCAGCCAGATGATGAGTTGATGTCACATTCAGGGAAAGACTTGCAGAATATGATCCAGTTTTTGGTTTCTGTATCAATTGGTCAATCTGCAGCCAGAATTATCAATACAAGTCAGACTGAGATTATTTGTGGTAGATTTGAGCAACTTCATGTAGAGACCAAGTTTAAACATCGCAGTACCCAATGTGATGTGAAGCTGAGATTTTATGGTTTGTCTGCTCCTGAAGGTTCACTTGTGCAGGTTTGTTATCATATAGTGTTTGCCAGATGTGTTATTCATGAGATGATCTAACCTGTGCATGGTATAGTGTGAACTGCTTTATTCACTTCCCAATAACATCCTATGTTTATTTTCTTTTCCTGAATTTCTTGTTGTTGATTCTTGTAGCCTAGGCTGTCACTGGATGGTAGGTTTTGTTTTGCTTTATCCTTTGTAATTTTTAGCAGGTTCACTTTTGTCTTTGTTCTACAGAGCGTCTGCAACGAACGGAAGGAGAATGCTCTTACTGCTAGTTTTGTACACTCACCAGTTGGAGAGAGTGTTGACTGGAGGTTGTCAGCTACAATTTCTCCATGTCATGTTACGGTAATGTATTTTTCCTTGTCTTTTTGGGAATAAAGGTGGAAAGTTGTGCAAAGGGTTTGTTACTCATGCATGAATTAGTTAACTGTATTGCCAAATCTGCTGTTATCCAGGCATTTCTTTTCTTTCTTTTGGCTAAGTTTATTATTTTCATAGTCTATATCTTGGAGATTGAACATGTCATTGTTTTTCTGAGGTGATACATTTAGTTGGATGCTTGCTCTGATATATAATGTTTCTAGGAGGTCTGCTTATGTGCTTTGATGCAGCTTACTTCTTTTCTCTAATTTACCATTGCTGGTTGATGAGGTCCATATATTCTTCTGGCTTTGCAGGTTTTGGTGGAGAGCTTTGATCGTTTTTTTGAATTTGTGAAGAGGAGTAATGCTGTTAGCCCTACAGTTGCGATGGAGACTGCTACTGCATTACAGGTAATGATATTAATAGAATGCATGCCTCACCTTTCCGATTTAACTGATTTTTGTTGGTCAATGGCAGATGAAGATTGAGAAAGTGACTCGCCAAGCGCAGGAGCAGTTTCAGATGGTGTTAGAGGAACAAAGCAGGTTAAATACTTGCTTTCTTTTCCCCATCTCACCTACTGTTAGTTTAATTCTTCACCTTGACTTGTTTGATATTGGAATCTGAAAACATGTATAATCTGATAGTATTTTCTTCACTTGTATCTGTATCTCTTCTTATGTGCCAATGGGAGAATGTAAAAAAGCAACAAGACAACTGATGCATTGCAATGCAATGCAAATTTCTGGAAGTCAAAAACATGTATGTATGTAGAATTGGATTTCATGAAAAGAGGACTTGAGCAGGAATCTTGTATTGTAAATCTTGTGTGTTAGCAGAAAAGATGGGCAGGAATTTGTTGAGATATGGGATGCATTAACCTGGAATTTAGAAGGAGGTTGGTGCTTTATTTGTCTTTAACTAAGATTAGGAGGCTTTTGTAGGCGTATTACAGCTGAAATTTTTATATTGTTAGGTCCCATATCTATGTCTGTTGAAGGATGAAGAATATGCACCTTGGAGTTTTAGTTATCCCCCATGAGTCTTAAGTGGAGCTTTCTTGATTTTTCAGTGTTATCTTGGGATGCAGTGGAAGGGAACAACCTTTTTCTAATACTATCCTGTGTTAGATTTCAAAGTATAATGTTTTCAACTTGGATAATCTCTTTTCCTAGCTACATGTGGCTAGGCTCTATATTTTCTTTTGCTTCATTGTGCCTTGTTTTGTTTTAAGATGAAAGCAAACAATATAGACTCATTTTCTTTTTCTGCTTGCTTTCTTAGATTTGCTCTCGACATCGATCTTGATGCCCCAAAAGTTAGGATTCCCATAAGGACAAATGGCTATTCCAAATGTGATAGCCATTTTATTTTGGATTTTGGTCATTTCACATTGCATACTATGGTATGTGTCCAGGTATTTACCTCATGAATAGCTATTTCCTGCATTTCCTATGCTTAGGATTATTAATTGTCATGGCAGGAAAGTCAATCTGTTGAACAGAGGCAGAATCTATATTCTCGTTTCTACATATCTGGAAGAGATATTGCTGCTTTCTTTACAGATTGTGGCTCTGATTGTCAGAACTGCACTTTGTTCAAACCAAATTCCAATTATCAAACAATATTATCTCCCCGGCCAGGCAAAGTTGATTTCTATTCTGTTATTGATAGGTGTGGAATGGCAGTAATTGTTGAGCAGGTGTGATTTGTTTTTTCATATTGTAGTTGATACTTCTTTCTGCTAAATTTTTATATTGAAATTGTTTATAGTGATGCGAATCTGTACTAATAATAGTTTTGCACCTACATCTGTTTATGACAGATTAAAGTTCCTCACCCGAGTTACCCATCAACACGAGTTTCTTTCCAAGTGCCAAATCTTGGCATTCACCTTTCACCATCAAGATATTGCAGGCTTATGGAATTGCTGAACATATTTAATGGTTCCAAGGATCACTCTAATCAGCCTGGTATTGATAATTCCCATCCAGATAATGCCCCTTGGACTTCTGCAGACCTTACTGCTGATGCTAGAATTCTAGTCTGGAAGGTGCACCATCATGTTGATTGAAAATAAACTGGTCAGATATTTGCCTCCTGTATATATCTAGTTAAGAATTATAAATTCTTTTATTTAGGGCATTGGCAACTCTGTCGCAACGTGGCAGCCTTGTTTTCTTGTGTTATCTGGATTTTATCTTTATGTCTTGGAATCTGAAAAATCTCAAAGCTACCAGCGATACTTGAGGTTTGAGAATATCAATTCTATTACTCTTTATACTAGTTTTTATTCCTGATATTTTTTTAATAGCATTTGTGAAATATCTCATTTGAAGGTTGTAGCCTCTTAGACACTCTTAATCTCAACTCATTTTGGATTGGTGCAGCATGGCTGGTAGACAGGTATTTGAGGTTGCATCCGAAAAAATTGGTGGTTCATCATCTTGTATTGCAGTGAGCTTCAGAGGGATGGACCCCAAAAAGGTAAGTATTGTTCGTTTGCCATGAGTAATCCAATTTAATGTGCTATATAATTCATTAAAGTGCAAGAGGATTATTCTAGCATTCTAATTTGTTGAGAAAAGGTGTAGATAAGGATACAAACATTGTCATTTTTTCTTTATAAGGATACAA